TTTTTTAATTAAAAAAAAATTTATTTATTATTATTTATTTATTTTTGGCTGCATTGGGTGTTCATTTCTGTGCCTGGGCTATCTCTAGTTGCGGTGAGTGGGGGCTACTCTTTGTTGCAGTGCATGGGCTTCTCACTGGGGTGGCTTCTCTTGTTGCGGAGCTCGGGCTCTAGGCGTGCGGGCTTCAGTAGTTGTGGCTCACGGGCTCTAGAGCACAGGCTCAGTTGTTGTGGCGCACGGTCTTAATTGCTCTGTGGCATATGGGATCTTCCTGGACCAGGGACTGAACCCGTGTCCCCTGCATTGGCAGGCGGATTCTTAACCACTATGATACCAGGGAAGTCCCTATATCAGCCCTTTAACCAGTCTCTCTGCTTCTGATTTCTCTCTACTCCAATTCCCTCAACTTGTATTTACTTAGCACCTACTGAGCACCAGGCCAGCCCAGTTCTCTGTGCAGTGCAGGAATACAGACATGAAGGAGCAGATAAAGCTTGTACCCTCAGGGAATGGAGGATTTGCTAGGAAGCAAACACATCCCTGGCAGGACACCCCACTTCTGAGGCCACCCCCACCTTGCCACTCCTCTCCTTGTGAACGTTACTGTAGGGGAACCACAGACTTGATCCAGGTGGATTTTGAGATGATGGTCCCTCCAGCTTAGAGAAAACTGGGGCATGTCCTCTCCCCTGAGTCCTGGCCAGTGGCCCCCCTTGCTCCTGACCTCCTCCCCTCACTCATCCTCATGCTCCCCACCCGCCAGCTCCTCTCTCCTACCCTGGAGGTGTCCTCCTTCAGTCTCCCCCCTCACACTGTCGTCCCATCTGTCCTCTAAGAGGTTGGGCCTCTGAAGCCTGTCTTCCTGTCCTCACCTCCTCAGTCACTGCAGGCTGGCTTCTGCCACCCCGAGGAAAGGCCTCCCCTACCCCTGGCCCCATTGGGCCTTTGAGATGACTCCTCCCCTGTCCCCTTTGGGTGCCCCAGAACACCACTGTGCTCTGCACTCAGTCCACCCTCCTTTTCCCCACACCTGTTCTGACTTGGTGTATCACCTCCAGACGTGCATGACTCCCCCGGAAAGGCCCTCAGCTGGACATCTGCAGCCTCCTTACTGTCCTGGGGCCATGGTGGGTCTTGTCTTTCCC